ATGTCAAGATCAAACTAACGGCCATGGTCTCTAGTGATAGTGAAAGACAGCGGAAATTTGCTAACCATAGTTCAACAAAGGCGCAAGCCACTTTCTCAGAAGTAATGTACTTACAGGTACTGTTCTAGCTATCGTGTAAAATGGTCTGCACATGATAATAAATTGCAGTAACTCGCCTGTAGTCCCTCCAAGGGCTACTGCCGGTCCCAAGTCCGGATAAAGGGGAGGGTTGGGCATGGGTGTAGCGACCCCAACCAGTAGAAAACTGTGTAACGTGTGGACAGCAGGGTTTTTGATAAGCGCGTATTTATCGATCGCTTCTGTGACAGTGACACGTAAGGACGACCTAGTGCCTTGATTGGCCCTGCTTCTATGTCTGTCCCAGCCAGTTGAGTCAAGAACACAAGTCACAGCCTCTGAGTAATGAATCATTGTGTTTCAAAATACTCTATTTATATACCAAGCAAACAAACCACATCGTACCATAAAATAGGAAACAACATTTGTACAATATTAACAAGTGAAGTAAACATCGACCAATAAGGAATGTACATTTAAGGTCCAAGGCCACCGTAGACTTAACAATAATTATTGGTATATTTTTCCGACTATCCTAACAAAAACTAACTCGCTAAAAAAACGCTAACCAGAAAAAATTATTCGAACCTTTTAAACTCTGCCCTGGGAATCAGAAGGTCTTCATTTAGAGGAACTATGACGACTCATGATGAAAGCCGAGTTCCTTAGGAAGTTACGAGGCCGATGCCCCTTCTGACAATCAGAGCAACCATTTATTTAGGTACATGGAATGTTCGTACAATGTGAGACACCCGCAGAGCCTTCCAAATTGCTGCAGAAATGAGAAGATACAACCTAGAGGTACTTGTGATCAGTGAAACACATTGGACGCAAGTTGGACAACAACGACTAACTTCAGGAGAGCTCCAGTTATACTCCGGCTATGAAGAAGAAAATGCACCACATACACAAGGAGTCGCATTGATGCTGTCTAAACAAGCACAAAATGCACTTATATGATGGGAATCTCATGGACCAAGGATCATCAAAGCCTCCTTCAAAACAAAGAAAGAGGGCATTTCAATGAACATCATCCAATGCTATGCGCCTACCAACGACTACAATGAAGACGCTAAAGATCAATTCTACAATAGGCTGCAGTCAATCATCGAGAAGTGCCCAACAAAGGACCTGACCATTCTGATGAGAGATTTCAATGCCAAGGTTGGAACGGACAACACTGGATATGAAGACATCATGGGACGACACGGACTGGGAGAAAGGAACGAAAATGGTGAGAGATGTGCAAACCTATGTGCCTTCAATAAACTGGTCACAGGCGGCACCATATTTCCACATAAACGCATTCATAATACCACATGGACTCCACCGGATCACACTACACAAAACCAAATCGACCATATCTGCATCAACAAAAAGTTCAGGTGGACGATGGAGGACGTGCGAACGAAGAGAGGAGCTGATATAGCCTCAGATCATCACTTGCTGGTCGCCAAGATGAAATTGAAACTCAAGAAGCACTGGACAAGGGGGCGGACAATATCACAAATGTTCAATACGGCCTTTCTTCAGGATACTGACAAACTCAACGAATTCAAGATAGCCCTCAGCAATAAGTTTCAGGCCTTTCATGATCTACTCAATGGAGAAGGAACTGTAGTGGCATTGAACAATAGCCACACAATCCACAAAGCTGTGAACACGAGACTACTCAGAAAATAAACATTCAATATTTAACGCCGAGAAATACCTAGCAATGGAGAGGGCGCGAACAATGAATTGGAGGAATTAGAGTTGATCAAACGGCTTGGCTCGGCCATGCAGGCGTGGTCCCTGCTGAATGTTATCTTATATCTTCTATTCATATTAAATATATTGTTCTTTCTCTAGCCTAACCTTGTTCTACATCATGTATTGGTAATTGATACGATACAGTGAGTTGGTGTAGTCGATGGTGTGACTTCCACGTAAGATTTTATAGATTAGGCAGTTATATCATGACAAATCTACAAACTTAGGATTAGGTCTATTATTAGAGCAGCACTAATATCATATTAGACCATAGTTCTACAGAACTACTGTGGAGAGCAACTGGAAGGGGATCAAAGAGGCAATCCCTTCAATATGTCATGAGGTCCTGTGCCACAAGAAGCACCATCACAAGGAATGGATCACTGTTGATACACTGGATAAGA